GTACCTTGAGATGACTGGATCTGCTACACCTGTATTCACATCTCTCACACGCAAACGGTTTCTCTCCCGTGTGAGTGCGCATGTGTATCTTGAGATGACTGGATCTGCTACACCTGTATTCACATCTCTCGCACGCAAACGGTTTCTCTCCCGTGTGAGTGCGCATGTGTACCTTGAGATGACTGGATCTCCTACACCTGTATTCACATGTGTCGCACGTAAACGGTTTCTCTCCCGTGTGAGTGCGCATGTGTGCCTTGAGATGACTGGAGCTCCTACACCTGTATTCACATGTATCGCACGTAAACGGTTTCTCTCCCGTGTGAGTGCGCATGTGTGCCTTGAGATGACTGGAGCTCCTACACCTGTATTCACATGTATCGCACGTAAACAGCTTCTCTCCCGTGTGAGTGCGCATGTGACTCTTGAGACGACTGGAGGTCCTACACCTGTATTCACAACTATCGCACGTAAACAGCTTCTCTCCCGTGTGAGTGCGGATGTGACTCTTGAGATGACTGGAGGTCCTACACCTGTATTCACATGTGTCGCACGTAAACGGTTTCTCTCCTGTGTGAGTGCGCATGTGTTTCCTGAGATTACTGGAGGTCCTACACCTGTATTCACATGTGTCGCACGTAAACGGTTTCTCTCCTGTGTGAGTGCGCATGTGTGCCTTGAGAGTACCGAGGGTCCTATATCTGTGTTCACATATATCGCACACGTACGATTTCTCTCCCGTGTGAGTGCGCATGTGTACCTTGAGATTACCGAGGGTAGTATATCTGTGTTCACATATATCGCACGCATACAGCTTTTCTCCTGTGTGAGTGCGCATGTGTGACTTAAGCGTATCGGACCAAAAACACTTATATTCACATCTCTCACATGCAAATCGTTTCTCTCCCGTGTGAGTGCGCATGTGTCTCTTGAGATAACCGGAGGTCCTACACCTGTATTCACATCTATCGCATGTAAATGGTTTCTCTCCTGTGTGAGTGTGCATGTGTTCCTTGAGATGACCGGAGGTCCAACACCTGTATTCACATCTCTCACATGCAAACGGTTTCTCTCCCGTGTGAGTGCGCATGTGTATCTTGAGATTATAGAGGATCCGATATCTGTGTTCACATATATCGCACGCAAATGGTTTCTCTCCCGTGTGAGTGCGCATGTGTATCTTGAGATTATAGAGGATCCGATATCTGTGTTCACATATATCGCACGCAAATGGTTTCTCTCCCGTGTGAGTGCGCATGTGTATCTTGAGATTATAGAGGATCCGATATCTGTGTT